AGTGTGAGGCTTTGGTATGCTTGACAAGATGAACGGTTGGGCAGTGTGGCGACTTTGATCCCATTGATTCGGGGCATGTGTTGGTTGGCAGTGAATGATGACTCGGTCTTGCATTGAACCTCACTCCTTCAAGGGAAGTGTGAGGCTTTGGTATGCTTGACAAGATGAACGGTTGGGCAGTGTGGCGACTTTGATCCCGTTGATTCGGGGCATGTGTTGGTGCAGTGAATGATGGCTCGGTCTTGCATTGAACCTCACTCCTTCAAGGGAAGTGTGAGGCTTTGGTATGCTTGACAAGATGAACGGTTGGGCAGTGTGGCGACTTTGATCCCGTTGATTCGGGGCATGTGTTGGTGCAGTGAATGATGGCTCGGTCTTGCATTGAACCTCACTCCTTCAAGGGAAGTGTGGGGCCCTAATATGCTTGACAAGATGAACGGTTGGGCAGTGTGGGGACTCTGTTCCTTTTGATTAGAAGAGTGCGTTGCTTGGCAGTGAATGAATGGTCGAACTTTCATTGATCCTAACTCCTTCAAGGGAAGTGTGCGGCTTTGGTATGCTTGATAAGATGAACGGTTGGGCAGTGCGGAGACTGCGATCCCGTTGATTCGGGGTATATGTTGCTTGGCAGTGAATGATGGTTCGGTCTTGTGTGTTGAACCTCACTCCTTCAAGGGAAGTGTGGGGCTTTGGTATACTTGACAATAGGAACGTTTAGAAAGTGTGGAGGCTTTGATGCCGTTGATTCGGGGCATGTGTTGCTTGGCAGTGAATGATGGCTCGATCTTGCATTGAACCTCACTCCTTCAAGGGAAGTATGAGGCTTTGGTATGCTGGACGTGGTGAATGGTTGGGCAGTTCGGGGACTTTGTTCCTGGTGATTCGGGGCATGCGTTGCTTGGCAATGAATAATTGCTCTTTCCTGCATTGAACCTCACTCCTTCAAGGGAAGTGTGGGGCTTTGGTGTGCGTGACAAGATGAACGGTTGGGCAGTGGGTGAACTTTGATCCCGTTGATTCGGGGCATGTGTTGGTTGGCAGTGATTGATGGCTCGGTCTAGCATTGAACCTCACTCCTTCAAGGGAAGTGTGGGGCTTTGGTATGCTTGGCAAGATGAATGGATGGGCAGTGCGGAGACTGTGATCACGTTGATTCGGGGTATGTTGCTTGGCAGTG